TTTACTCATGTTCAGAATAGGATTATCCTGAAGCAAGGAGATGAAATGCGACTGGAAAAGAAGTGATTTTCGCGCTCACTGCTCCTGACCACTTGGATCCATCACAGCCTCCGGTCCCTAAAGCGACTATTCGAAATGACCGAAACACCAATTCAGAATGACGGTCACTTTCACCAAGACGATTGGCAGACCATTTCTCCGGTGTGGTACGCTGACGAATTGTTGCGAAGGTCTGACACGAATGGCCATAGGCCCCGGATTCATCAAGCCCCGGAAACGGGCTCATATGCGCTCGCCGGTCGTCGGGGTCAATGTCTCACGATTAGGTCAAGACACGCCCCGTGCCCTATGCAGAGGACAGAGACGTGTTGGTCACACACACGACCTGAACTGAAGTTAATTATCCTGTCGGGCTAATTGGCAGACAGGCCCGACTATGGCACCGGGGGCCTAGTTGTGGGGCTATGGGTCTGCGACACTGAGGGCCTGGATAAGACTCCCTGCTGGGTGCGAGAGGCAGGCAGATTCATGGCAGACTAGCAGATGGCTCCAAACCCCATCCTCCCAACACCAGCCGGTAGTGCCGACAGTAGATATCTATGCTGGCGAACCCACATCTTTGTGAATCTCTACTGTCTGCGAGAAAAACGGAGAAAAACTTCGACATAATAGCGTGGGCGATAATCGAATCGCCAAGGCGTACGGGGCACGGAGGACCCTGAGTAAAAGATCTGATGCGGGGATTGTGGGCTCACATAGAAGAAAGGATGAATAGTGGGGAAGAATAAGGATGCGGCGAGGGAAAATAATGAGAATTGCAAAGCAGACCGGCTGCACAAAGGGTGTATGGTGGCTGCGTTACCAAGCTGCAGAGGCTGGAATGGTTCGTTTCTGCGCTCTCGTCATGCCAACTTGGAGATGTATAAGTACCAGTTAATAGCCTGGTGATAGAATCGGAACCACGCCGGGTGTTTTCCGAACCTCTACCCATGCGTGCGCGGTGCGTTTTGAAGGAAAATGTGGACATGTGTGTGTGTGTGTGTGT